GATCGAAATGATTATCCTCCTGCAATTGAAATATCTTATTCTCAAAAATAAAAGGTCAAGACAAATATAATAAAATAAGTGCAATGTTATTTCAGTTTTAACTTATTTCATGAATCAAATATGTCATAATTATTGTAACAACTATCACTTTAATCTAATTATTTGCCAACCATTTTATTGTGACTGAAGTTGAAGGGTCCCATGCAGGCATAGGTATAGGTCACGATCGAGCAATAAGATACATTCATTCATTGATGTATGTAATAATGCAATACAAAAGCGCTGGGTCCCATCCGTTTTGAGTATCTCGTTGATATATGAAGGAATGTATGTGCACATGTCATGTTTGATCTCTAACGCAAAATAAACGTAGGATTAAATTTGTTAATATTTTTAAAGTCGAAGATTTAATTAGGCATAAAAAAATTTTAAAAAGTAAATTGATCATTTCACAATAATTGAGAGATCATTTCAGTAATAAACTCTATTTATTATTTGTTGAATATTTATCTCAGTTAAATAATATTTTCATCTTTATAATATTGATTTTCATCTTTATAATATTGATCGCTCACTGTGCAACGATAAATGCCAAATGAACAAAAATAATTGTTAAATTATATAATCAAAATAAATGTGAAATTACATTATGTTATAACTATTATGAGAAAACAATTATAAAAGATAATATAATTAATTAATAGATGTATAAATAAAAATACATATATAAAATTAAAAATATTTTGTAAGTGTATAAGAAAATAAGCACAATGAAAATTTTATTATATTTAATGTATTGTTTAATTGCATTAACAACTTAAGAATGAAAAAAAAAAAAAAAGAATAGCTAAATTGGAAATAATTTGTAATTTTACAAGAGACAAAACATAATGTACAAGTTAACATTGTATCTAATTACATGAACATATTTTGTTTTTCTCGTTATATATCCTTACTATGATACTATCATTGACTTTTATTATATTTTAGGATTTTAGGATTAGTATTTAGTTTTAATTGTTTTTATTACTACATAGATAAAGCTCATAGTGTGCCATTTGAATTGCTAATGTTAGTAAATTATTAGAATATTAGGTGCTCCACGGTGCCATGGATGTACTCATGTACTATATACTTTGTAAAATTTTACACAATTTTTCTCCTTATGTATATTTATCAAATGTACAATTTTAAAACGCATGATATTATAAAACATTTTATATTTTAAAATTACATGTCACTTCCAATCATTTTATTTGGAACTTAAAAATAAAAAATCACCACAAGACATTCGTCTAGTAGATAAAAAAATTTCACTTACATGCTTTCAGAGACATGGTGTGAGTTCAAGTTGAATTTCTTATGCACATAAATGTACAATTTGATATTGAATCTCGAAACTAAATTAGCTCGATTTAAAAAAAAAAAAAAAGTGTTCGCTCTTTATTTATTTAGACGAACTATACATTATAATTAATCTCATAGGCTAGAGTTTATATTGATTGCAATCAATTAATTTCACCTTTATGGGTAGGTAATATTGCAACTAAGTATAAGTTGTCAATAATAATTTATCAATAATAATCCTTATTTATAAGATGATCATCCCTAGGGCAACTCCAACAAAATTAATTGGGCGATTAGCTTGGTAACCATAGATGTTCTAAATTTGATTTTCAATGATAACAATCTCCTTGTGATCCTTTGCCGATTTGAATCACACGAGATTTATTTAGTGTACACCATCAAATATTTATTTAGTGTACACCATCAAATAGTAACATAGATTTTCCTCATTAAAAAAAAAAACAAAAAAACAAAAAACAAAACCTTCCCCATTAATTTCACGTCAATAATGAGTCATTGTAGGCATTATAGTTGATATTATTGTTTGTTGTAGCGCTGTACTCATCATCAATTAATTACGGAGTATTTAATTATATACCCACTTTCTTTTTTTTTTTTTTTTGAAAAATATACCACTCTTTTTAAAAATCAACCAATACACAAAAAACTTATATAAGACCATCTCATGTGGAACAAAATTTTAGCAAAAATATAATTATTTTATATGAAGACTAAGACTATGTTTGGCAGAGCTTATTTAAGAGCTTATAGCTTATTCTAAGCTACTAATAAACTATAAACTCTCTGTTTGGTAATGTTTCTAAAATAAGTTAGTAGCTTAAATAAGAGTTTATTTTGAAATGCTACATATAAAAAATAAGTCTGTAATTTCCTAATTTTTTTCATCTTTATCGTTATTATTTTAAATAAATGACATTATTTACCCTTCTCATTCAAAATCATTTTGGCCTTTACTATTCTCCTATATTTTTATTCATTCTCTTTGGCAACGAAAATTTGAGTGAGACCTCTATTGAGATGAAGGAGATTCGCAACAATATTGCTACTTCATTGTGGGATGCTAGATCATCATCTGATCATGATTATGCTAATAGTTTCATTTTAAAATGTTAAATTTTTGTGTACAAAACTATTTAAATTTAAAACTATTTAAATTTTATGAGGATGTCATTTTTAGTCATTTTACATTTATTAACTTATCAAAAAGCTAATTTTATAATCAGCTAGTTTAACACCTCTTCAGTTTTCATCAGCTTGTAGCTATAGTTTTTCAGCTAGATTTGTCAAACATAACCTAAGTACTACTTCTTCACTAAAGAAGTATTATTTGTTATTTGAAAAATATTAATGAAAATGAAAATTTGTTAAGATATACAAAAAGAATATTACCTTTTTACTACGAATATTACATATTTAAGATATCTTGCATGAAATAGTATCATACAAAACCAACCAAACAAAAAACCCACTAATGATCAGTTTAACATTGCAAATAATCCCATTGGATGTGATCTTATAACAGAAGTTGGTACATAGTTAAATCAAAGTGTTTTATTTTATTTTTTTTTTGAGAAAGTTACATCACATCTTTAATAACTCTGGCTTAACATGGGACTTGATATCAACGACGCATTTACTTGAAGCGACTAAGCAAAACAATAATGTCAGATGCAATCATTCACACAATCTCTGTAAAGAATGTAGGCGCACTTTAATGATGCTTTAAACATTTTAGTATTCCTTTTTTTTTTTTTTCTCCTTCTCTTTATTTTTTGAAAAATAATTTAAAAACTCCAATTATGTGTAAGAATAAATGCAATATTACACTCCATTAGAGTCTTCAACTTTATTCTGAAATTGACCCATACCTAATGGACTACACCCCCCCCCCCCCCCCACCCACATTAAAAAAAAAAAAACATTAACTATCATGTAAATTATGTATCAGAGTGATAATTAAATTGAATTGGAGTTCGACTCCTTAGGTTGGTATATGGTGTGGGTTGGGTTTCTTGTACGCATAGTATGTACGACTGAAAGCTATTCATGTGTCTTGAGGCGGGGAACTAGAGGCTAAGATTAGTCTGATGTAAACTGGGAAACTTATGTATTAAAATAATAATAATAATAAATGGAATTGGTTGTGGAGTCTCAACCCCATATTCAAGCTTCAGAGAATCAGTCAAAATTGTCACTGCCTTTTGTTTTGGTTTTGACCTGGCCAGGCCATCACTTTGAATGAGCCAAAGCCATAAAGGTGTTAAACATGAAGGTACAAAGCTCTTTGTATTTACCTGGACAGGTAAATTCTTGGCACTTGATTCTTGATTCCAAACTTCTGTGCAACTGAAAATCAACTGAAACAGTAAAAAAAGCTAACAATTTCATCATGGCATTTGAGCTTTACCTGGCAGGACACATATGAGAAATCTTAGGAATCACAATATTTGAAGGCTGCAAACTTTTCAACAAAGGTGGGGTTACATGATCACATTACAATGGGGTTAATATGGCATTATATGACCAAATTAAATGTAGCAAGAATGATTGCATTCCCAAGCACAAGATTCTTTCACACCTGATATTGACATATTATTGCTAAGAAATACTCCCAGATCACTTTTATCTTAGATGCCATATCAGATTCTCTCTTGTTTTACCTTAAGATAGAAAATCTACCTAGAAGAAAAACATACACAGTAACTCATGATGCATTTACCTGAGATAATCCAAGAAAACATATGTTTTACAGGAAAGAATCCACTGGATTCATGATGCATGTAAAAAACATATTTTTTTACATGCAAGTGCAAACCCATCTTGCCTAATCTAAGATAGAGAATCCACTGGAAAGAAGAGCATATATTTCATATGAATGTTAAGCTAACAGTGATGAACCCTGAAACAGCAATCAAAAGGGGATATATCATAGAAACTTTGCCTATGGTATTTCTGAATTGTGTAATAAACAGTAAACCCTAGCAGCTAAGAAACCAGTTGTACCTTATAGTGGGAAAATGAGATAACCACAGAATTTTATCTTGATGGGGAGAAAAGATCAGAAAATATCATGATGCATTTACCTAATGAAGGGTGTTTTATTTGCACCAACACTTTCCAATATTGACAAGCCTCTTCTTATTCTACTCTAGCAGTATACTGTTAAAAAGCATCCCAAATATAGGCACACAAAATCTCAGTAAAATTTCAACCAACTCTAATACTCTATCTAGTGCAGAACTTAGACAAATATAGAAAACCAATGCCAATGCCAATTACCAATATTCAAATAATGCAAAGGGTTCCCAAGAGAAGGGAAAGAAATGGTTCAAGCTTTCCCTTCTCTAAGATATAAGGTGAATCCAACCTGACATTGTTAAACACGAAAGAGTTCAGTAATGGTAAAGATTCAATCTTGAAGATCAGAACTTGCACAAGAGTAAATTCTCAGTAGAAATGCTAACCAAACAAATACATATACATGTATATATATATATATATATATATATATATATATATATATATATATATATATATATATATATATATATATATAAGCAGATTGTGCTATGATTGAAATCTAAAATTGTTCATTTTTCTTCTGTTCTGCAAAAACAAGATTGATTGATTGATTGATTGGAAACAAAACCTCAAGTTAAACATAAACCTGTGAATCCCCAATTATCCAATATCTTTTTTTGCTCCACACGTCCACCACTTCGATCAACATGGCTTGATAATTAATTCCACAAAAATTACACAAATAAAAATCACAAATTTGGAAAGGCAAAAGAGGGATGATTTGCAATCCTAGGTATCAAGAGGAAGAAAAATGCGGGCGTGGAGGAGGTAGCAATTGGTGTGTCTGAGGCAGCTGATTGGCAATACCACCAAGATTACGACTTCCCGAGCAGTATTGCACGATGAAAGGGTGAGTCGTCAGCTGCGGCGCCGTCCACCGTTTTGCGGGATCCCTCTGCAAACAGCAAGCAATGAAGTTTTTAAACTCCCTGGAAGCCGTGGGCGGCGCCTCCGGTGGTTCTGACATACAAATGGCACACATGAGGGTGGCCCAGTCCCCTTGCCTCCCGCCGTTGAACGGAAACCTCCCCAAGTAGAACTCCAAAATGCTCACTCCCAGGCTCCATATATCCCCTGCGTATCCATTGTACTGCCCCTGATTCAGATCCGTGTTTATCCTCTCGGGGCTCATATACGCAATCGTGCCCACGGAGGAGTTGCAGGGATCCATGGTTTGAGCCAGGATTCGCGAGACCCCAAAGTCAGCAATCTTCACCTTGCGTTGCGAATTGATGAGCAAATTGGAGGGTTTGATATCACGATGAACAATCTTGCGGCGGTGGAGGTAGCAGAGCCCGGAGAGAATCTGGCGAGTGAGATCCGCGAGCGCAGGCTCGTGAGGGATGTGCGTCCCTTCCAGAGAGCCTTTGTCCATGTACTCCAGAAGAACTTGGATTTCGCCTTTGTGATCGCTCATGTCGTGACATTTAACAACGTTAGGGTGATCGACGTCGCGGAGGATCTCGATCTCGCGGCACATCTGGAGGCGCACCGAGTCGTCGTGGTGGCCGTAAATCACCTTCAGAGCATAGAGCTTGCCGCTGGGGCGGTGGAGGACCTTGTACACCGTGCCGCCGCTCCCGCTCCCGATGCGGTTGATCCGCTCCAGCTCCGAGAAGTTGAGAGGAGCCGGGAGATCAGAAGAAGAGGATGACGACATCGAGGCCGAAGAAGGCGCCGAACTGGGAGGAAGAGGAAGAGGCACAGCCACTATCGGGTCGCGTTGCGGAAGAGGAAGGGTTAGGTCTAGTTTCTTCGTCCGCCTGTTGCGATTGGCCGATGACCCCGACGAAGACGCCGCCGACGAAGAAGAAGACGACGGCGACGAGGCCGAGACGGCCGGCGCCAGTGGCTGAATAGGCCGCATGATTGATTGATTGATCGATCGATCGATCGGAGGAAAAAATATATGAAATATGAAAAGAAAAAACAAAATCTGGAATGGTTTTTGTTCTTTTCTCCACCTCTCGGCTCTCTCCTCTAATTTGTTCTTTTTCTCCTTTCCTTAATCGATGACGGAGACGATAAATCGATAATTCCTTTTTTATATATATAAAAAAAAAATCTCTAATCTTAAAAAATGAGAAGAAAAAGAAGGTATACTACTCCGTATTTATGAAACTATTTATTTATTTATTTACAAAGATAATTTTCTTTTAGAAAATTTCTTTTAGAAAAAAGGAAAAAATAAAATAGTAACAATGGCTTCTGTTCTTGCCCTTTAATTTCGGAATCCGTTGGAGAGAGAAGAAAGAGACAGAAGGTTCTAGCGAAGGGGAGACAACGGAAAAACAGGAACGGTAGATTGAGAGGTGAGATCTATATTTAGTAGTGAAAAGAGATAATGGATTTATCCAACCTATTACAACCATCTATTTTTATCCAATATTATAAAACTCTAGTTTTACTAAACCATCTTAGAGCATCCACATTAGTTGGAGAGAATTGAGGGATAATGTAAGAGTAATTAGGAGAGAGAATGTGGGAAGGGGAGAAAAAAAAAACAAAAAAAAAACCAAAATAAAAAAACAAAAGCAAAAAAAAATATATATAAAAAAAAGAAATGTCAGCGGCGCGCCTGACGCGCCTGTGTGGGCGGGCTGCTGTGCGCGAAACGCGCACCGCAGCCCCATGTTTCTTTTTTTTTTTTTCTTCCTCTTTTTCTGCCATTATTTCTTATTTTGCAGATGAATTCTTCCCTTATTAATTCTCCCCCACATTAGCTATAAACTTGAATGGAGTGAATTAATGTTGCATTCTCCCCCCATTATCCACTAGTGTTTTTTTTTTTATATCGGAACTGAGGGGGATACCCGGAAAAGACAAAGATTACAACACCCTTTGGGCGTAAGAAGCCCTGTGAACTCTACGGGAGGAGGACGCGCCAACTTTGTCCAAAGATAACAACTCAAAGATCGCATGCGGAGGTGAGTTATAATAACGTAAACCAAAACCACCCCCTTCGTCCATAGTCGCAAGCTTATCTGCTACCCGGTTCTGTTCTCTAAACACATGAGTGTATCGCACTTCCATCAGGCCCAGAGCTTCTCGAATGCAGAGCCTGCCAATGTTATGGCATTGGCTTCTCCATCCTTCTTTCTCACACAAACTTTCCACCGTAGTCTTGGAATCACACTCAACGATAATCCTCGAGGCTCCGAAGTCCTTCGCCATCCGTAGCCCTTGTAGCACACCCCACGCCTCTGCAGCTTCCGCCGAGCATCTTCCAATGTTGTATGCAAATCCTTTACACCAGTCCCCATGTTCGTCTCGCAGCACTCCTCCGCAGCTAGCTGAACCATTACTCCTATAGCTGCCGTCCACATTAAGCTTGAGCCATCCTGGTGGCGGCTTAGTCCAAGAAATACGGGTGTCCACGTAGATGTGTTGCCCACGTCTTGCCATTTTTTCCGCTTTGAAAGCCCCCAGCACCTCCTTATCATATTTGCGCAGCCAAGCTAGCCTCTGATCAATCGGCGTGCTCATTTCGTTGAAGACCTCCTCATTCCGCCATTTCCATAAACACCAAAGTCTTATGCAAAAAATCTCGGGCCAATCATCTGCAAACCCCTCCTTCGCGTCTCCCCTAAGATTAGCCGTAAACCATTCTGTCCAGTCCATGGTCCGCAGCTTCTCTCTTAAACGCCAATGCAACGAGTCTTCCCAGATGGGCCTGGCCGCTTTACATTCCCTGAAAATGTGATTTAGGTCCTCCCTTTTACCTGCGCAAAGAAAACAAACGTCAGAAGTAGCTATATGACGTCTCACACGTTCGAAATTTGTCAAAATCTTCCCATGTCTCACTAGCCAAATAAACATGGAGATTCTAGCTGGCACCCTTAAGGTCCAAATGACCCTCCAGATGTTGTCCGAGCCCCCTTCATGTGAGGGGTCTATCAAACTATAGGCGGACTTTACAGAAAAGCGACCACGAGGGTCTAATTTCCATCCCCACTCGTCAGGATTTCCCGCTTCCGTAAGCCCAAAAGCAGCCAAGCCCATTATCCACTAGTGTGGATGCTCTTACAAAGAGAATGGATACTATTTGCCAAAAAAAGAAAAATTTATATGACTATATTTGACAAAACTTATTTTGGAGTATCTAATAAGTTCTGTTTGGTAATGTTTCAAAAATAAGCTAGTAGTCTAAAATAATAGTTTATTTAAAAATATTGGTAGCTCCTAATTATTTTTTCAACTTTAAACCTATTATTTTAAAGGAAAAATGGTGAGTTTGGTCCCTGAGTTGTAATGACGATTCAGCCATCCATATGCATTTTTAGTCCCTTAGTAATGAGCGAAATGACGCATTTTGACCCCGACCGTTAAAAATGACGAGAAATTTAAAAATATTAAAAATTTTAGGGATAAAGTAAAAAAATTCACATTTTATTCACCTTCTTATATTGAAACCACTTTTAGAACACTATTTTCAACTTCCTAGCATTCTATTAAGGTTCTTTAATTCCAAAATCAATTCAATAATCTTCGTATGACTTGTTAGTAATCTGAATCTCGTATAAGGAATATGTGACTCAGTACAAACAAGAGAACACTTGATCATTGTCTTCAAGCAGGGGCGGTGCCACGATTTGTTGGTGCGAGGGCCAATCACAATTTGAGAGAGAATAATAAAACATATTAATATATATATAGAGAAAATTACATTTTTGGTCCTGTGACTATTGTGGTCTTGTTAATTTCAGTACATGACTTTAAAAAGTAACAGTTTAGTCCCTTAACTATGCAATTTTTAACACATTTGGTCCATCCGGCCAAATCACCGGCCAAATGTTGTCGAAAAATATTATCTATTTTTAATTATTTAATAATAGGGACAAATATGTCTTTTCAGACCCTTCATCTCCTTCTCCACCCCTCATCCTTCTTCTTCTTTCTTCTTGCAACAATGGTGAAAAGCAGCTCAAAAACTTCTATTCGGGGGATTTACATCGGAACTTCGGAAGTTTCCGATGAAGTCATCGACGTTAAGCGTGAAGACAAGGAACAATCATTTCATGAACTCATTGTGTTTTCTGGAACGGTCAAAACTGAGGGGGAAACGGTCGCTGAGTGTGATAGCGAATGTCAAAGTCGTGAATAATATAAAGCCTAATAAAGTGTCTTATCCCTTAGCTTAACCAAATGATGCCAAAATGGACCCAGTAACACGCCAGTTCAGCAAATGAGAAAGCAATCGTCGGCTTCTCCCGCGACCACCGTCAGTTGCAATCAGCTCTGCAAATTCGCCATTACAGACAATCAGAAAAGTTACCCTTTCTTGAGATTCATCAAAGCCTCTAGGAGAAAACTGCCCGGAGCTTTCGCCGCAACATTACTTTTCTGCAAATTCGCCATTACAGATAGTTGTTCCGGGAGCGAGAAGAAAGGTTTGGGGAGATTAAGGAACTCGAGCTCCTGAGGATCTTCTATTGCTGCGTCTGCCAATGGAGAATTGGGCACGATTGATTTTTCTTTCGATGAAATTTGCAAGGGAACTAGGAATTTCTCTGGGTCAAATAATATTGGGGAAGGAAGATTTGGAACAGTGTACAAGGCGAAGCTCAGAGATGGATATTGCATAGCCATTAAGGGAGCTAGAAAGGTAGGTAAATATATTCTTTGTCAGATCACCATGGATTCAACAAGTTTAACTACCAAATGCATTCTTTGCTGCCCAACCTTGTAAATCAATCTTGTCTTCTTCATTAAAACTTTGTCAGCCATGGCTGCAAGATGAAAGAAGAAGAACGAAGAAGGGAGGGAAGGAAGAAGAAGGGCTGAAATGACCAATTTGCCCTTATTATTAAACAATTAAAAATAGTCTATATTTTTCCGGCGACATTTGGCCGGATGGACCAAATGTGTTAAAAATTACATACTTAAGGGACTAAATTGTTAGTTTTTAAAGTCACGTACTGAAATTAATAAGACCCCAATAGTCACAGGACCAAAAGTGTAATTTTCTCTATATATATATTTAACATATTTCAAAATACATCATTATATTACAAATCTACTAAAATTTGGAACGTCTTCCAAAATTCAAATCTATTATAACTTCGCGGGGTTTACCTAATTCCATATTGGGTATTCTACTCAATACTTGTAAATGAATTTACTTGAGATTCGATGTTGAATTTTCAGAAATCTTTCTTTTAAAGATAAGATCAATTTTTTGTGTCTTTTTCATTTCAACTCAAACTTTCGATGTTCACATTGTTAATTTTTTTGACAAATCAATTGAATTAACTAAAATTGAAAAAAAAAAAAGAATAAATAGACAAAGATTAAAGTTTTAGAAATTTAAAGATTTTGGTAGCAAAATGACAATTTATTATTATAATAAACACAATTGGAATGTATTTCATTTGCAAATTAAAAAAGACAAAAAATTAAAGTAGTAGAAATTTAAAGATTTTGATAACAAAATGACAATTTATTATTATAATAAACACAATTGCAATGTATTTCATTTACAAATTAAAAAAGACAAATATTAAAGTAGCGAAAATTTAAAGATTTTGATAGCAAAATGACAATTTATTGTTATAATAAACACAATTGCAATGTATTTAATTTGCAAATTAAAAATGAAAAATATTAAAGTAGCAGAAATTTAAAGATTTTGGTAGCAAAATGATAATTTATTATTATAATAAACACAACTACGATGTATTTCATTTACAAATTAAAAAACTAACTAGATAGCAAATTAACAATCTACTAAGTTACCCAAGAAGCTTGCTTAGAGGGGGGCAAAATAACATATATTTAGTGAGGGGGGCAAAAAAAAAAAAGAACTACAATATTAATTAAAAAAAATGGTTGGGGGGGCCAAGGCCCCTGCAACATTCATGTGGCTCCGCCACTGTCTTCAAGCATGTAAAGCACATCATCCTAAAAGTTTATGATTTTCCTTACTAAACATAATGGTAATCAAACCATAACTTTTGAAATACAATAAGATATCAAATTTCTCAGGTTATTTTTATGACAAATTCACCAAGGGAGTAAC